CCACAGGCACACCTCTCAGACCATGATGTGGAGACACTCCTGGTAGAGTGGCCCTTCACCCCGGATGGCTGAGCGCAGTCGCTCGCCTTGTATGTATAGGCAATGGCCTCCGCTATCCAGTGGGATAGGCGCTGTTTTTGAAGGAGCACAGCCCTTCGTAGGCCCACCATAACTGTCAAAGAGCTGCTCCGACCGCCGCATGCTAACGGTGGCTTCCACATAAGCTCTGAGGGCCCGCACTGGGCACAGCAGCCTTGACCTCTCCTCTCCTGATGGGGGGGGCGGGGTGTCAAACTGCACGAGCTGGATAGGCTGGTTGATATGTGAGCGTGTCAACACCTTTGGGAGAAATGCTGCATTAGGCCACGAAGTGACACCCAAGCCATCCGAGTTCCATCTCAGACATGATTCATTTACCGACAGGGCATGCAGCTCGCCTACACATTTAGCTGAAGTGATGGCAAGGAGAAAAAATGTTTTGGCCGATAGCCATCTCGGTTCCGCCTGTGCCAGGGGTTCAAAGGGAGGCAAGCATAGGGTGTCCAGTACCAAGGGTAGGTCCCATGCAGGGGCCTTCGGGGCACTCGGGTGACGCAATCACTGAGCCCCTTTTTTAGGAAGAGGGACACCAGTCTGTGGCTCTCTACTGTGTCATTGTCGACCTTAGTATGCTGCCCCGAAATAGCGGCCACATATACTCCAAGGGTAGAGGGAGACCGGCCCTTATCTAGGAGGGACTGTAGAAACTCAAGTACAGCAGGCAGGGGAAACTGTACTCGGACCTTGTTCTGAACCGCACACCAGTCAGAAAACAGCTTCCACCTGTTTTCGTACTGCAGACGAGTAGATCGCGCCCTGGCATTAAGAATAGTCAGTCTGACTGGTTTTATGCAGCCAAACAGCATCCGGTCGGGCCAAACCCATAGTTGAAGGCGGCAGGGATTGGGATGCCAAATCCGACCTTCTAGTTGCGACAGGAGGTTGGGGAAGAATGGTGAAAAAGGCATAAAGAAGATCCTCTGGTCACGTGTGAGCCAGGGCATCTTGACCCAGAGGACTGGTCCTCTCCGTCACCAGTGGGGGCAGTAGGTCGACATCACGTCTGGATGTAGCCGCCACTCTCCCGGTGGAGGCTTGTGATGGGACAGGAAATACACAACCTGGTTCCGTTCTCCTGGTGGGTACATTGCCCGAAGGCTGGTCAGGCGGGCACGGTGATACTCGTAGTAACTTCTGCAGATCTGGTGCCCCCTTGATGCTTTATGTGAAAACACAGCAGAGGTGTTGTCCGACGGACAAGCACATGCTTTCCCTTCAAATATGGCAGGAAGTGTTTGAGCGCTAGCTCTAGAACATCGACATGCGGTCTTTGAGCAGACAACTGCCCCCAAGCAGTCCTGTTCTGCCACACTGCACCCCGCCTTGAGAGGCAGGCATCTGTTGTGACAATCTCCCGGCGGAATGGAACAGAGCCCATGGGGACACCGTTTGCCAGATATGCACTCTCCCTCCATGGGGATAGAGTGAGTAGGCACTGTTTTGATACTACTATTGCCCTGTGTCTGTGCCACTTGGCGTCCAAGTGAAGGCTGTTCAGCCATCTGTAAACCCAAGGGAACGACAGTTAAGGCAGCTGTCAGTTTACCCAATAGGTGGAAAAAAGAATGTAAGGCAATCGTCTGCCCCCTCGGAAGGGGGAGAGGTTGTGGGGGATGTCGCCCACACGCTGGGGCGACAGACAGGCCCTCATAGAACCACACTAATGAAGGTTATGCTCTGAGAAGGGCTCAGGTAGCTCTTCTCCATGTTCACCTTGAAGCCCCACCGGGCCACGTGAGAGAAGGCGAGCAGTGTCCTGTGCCGCCTGAAGCCGTGATGGCGCACAGGTCAGCCAATCGTCTAAGTACGGCAGTATTTTCACGCCCTGTGATTGCAGGGGGAAAGGACAACAGTAACACACCTTGTGAACACCCGTGGGGAGAAGGGAGAGTCCGAATGGAAGCACCCTGGACTGAAAGACGGCCTTAAAAGGCAAAACGAAGAAACTCTGTGGTGATACACCATGGTTACATGGGAATAGGCGTCGACAGACGTGAACCACTCTCCCTTGGAAACAGCACAAAGGGCGTCTGCTGTGCTCAATATGTGAAACGGCAACACCTTCGAAAACTTGTTGAGTCCCTTCAGATCTAGGGCTGGGCGCAGTCTGCAGCCTGTCTTCTTTACAAGAAAGTAAGTTGAGTAGAACACCCGGGCTCTTGTGACCGGGGGTTCGCCATCTCGATTGCACCCTTGGCCGGGAGCGCAGCTAACTCCTGGCTCAGGGTTTAGGGATTTTGCCGGATTGGTGATGCACAATGGGGTCATTTTTGACCTGGCTGAAGGTTGGGGGGCCGGCGTCAGATTTGAAGCTTATACCCTTATGTTAGGGTGGACACCGCCCAAGGGGCTGAAGCATGAGCTGCCCAGTAGCTGATCTGCTGCTGGGAGAAAAAAACGACAGCCAGCCCGGAGACATCATCTCCTGGCTCCCCTGCCTCTGGAGGCTTTGGGGGGACAACTGTTAGTCCCCAAGTTCGGAGGTTACCTGGCGGGGACTTAGGTAGGGTTGTATTGGTAGCGGGCCGGCCTCTCAGCGGGACACTGAGGCCCGTGGCAGCTACTGGGGTGAGCTGGGGGCTGAAAACGGCCTCGGGGGGCCGAAGTGGGACCCCTAGGTCTGCGGGGTGCGAGCACGTCCCTGTGAAGACCAGAGAACTGCTGCCTGGTCTGACTAGTTTGAACAGTCCGCTGAAACGCCTCTAGAGCAGCTGAACTGAACAGCTCCCCAGGTTCCACTAGGACAGTACTGAGGGTTCTCCTACATGTCTCCGACCGGGGTGGACATCAGACGTCCAAGTTCCCTCGACATGAGCGCAAACGCCTGCAATGAAGCATCACTGAGGCTGGTGGCGGAAGCGTCGAAAGTAGCCTGCTGCAGAGAAGCTGAGAGGGCAATCATGAGGTGGGAGTTGCCGATACGGTCCACAGCGCTGCTATGTCATAAGCCCTGGATAGCAGGTCATCTGTGACCCGACGTTGGGGACGAGGGCACCTGGCATCGGGCCTCAGAGTCTCCTCAGGGGAAACTATGAGGGACGCAATAGTCGGCTAAATGGCTGGCATACATGCAAGGCCAAATTTTGCCACCTCCTGCATGGCCGTCAGGGTTCGGCCATCTGATGTAAGGCGGGAGAGAGAGCCCTGGTGTCTCTCCAGCATGCATGCGACTCCCTCAGATATTCTTCAGAGGGAGCAACAGAAAAGGTGGTGAGGGCGGGAACGCGCCTCAAGAAGGCACTTGCAGGCGGAGGTTCCGGCTGCTGTGAATCCCACTGCAGGCGTGCCAGCGCCATGCGAATGATCAGGGTAGGTTGGGCTGGATTCAGCTGCCCTGACAGGGGGAGGTCGACCTCATGCATCAGGTGTTCCACTTTGGCCAGCCTAGCAGTGAGAGGGGAGCAAGGACACTCTCTTCACTAGTACAGTTGCTGTAAACTAGTGGTGTCCCACCAGTTAGCCTGAGCGAGGATGCTCTGTTAACTGTGACAGCCGTAAGGTTACAAAGTCGATGGACACAGTCCCAGTATCAGCTTTGTCTAGCTAGCATCTCACCAAGTTAGCCTAAGCGAGGACACTACTAACTGTCAGGTGTAAAAATAAATCTCAATGGACACAATGTCAATGTCGATCTGATCGAACTAGTCTCACCAAGTTAGCCTGAGCGAAAACACTCTGTTAACTGTGATAGCCGTAATGTTACAAAATCAGTGGACACAATGTCAATGTCGATCTGGTCGAACTAGCATCTCACCAAGTCAGCCTGAGCGACACTCTGCTCACTGTGAATGGCGGGCCGACAGCGTATATTCTACGCTCTCGTTAGCACGCCACTCGATTAGCTAGAGCAGAAGCGCTCTGCCAACCGTGGAAAACGAACAACGGTTATAGAAAAGAATGTTAATCAATATCACCGATTGCTGTCTTCACGACTTAGGTGGCCCTTATCAGATTGGTGAAAGACCGATGATAGGAGCGTCCACCCGTCCGGGGCTCGATGGTCTGAACGGCGAAAACACGCCATTCCCTCCTAAGACGGACAGTTGTCGCAGCCTTTGGAGGGCGAGAGATCCGCAAATCCGACCGGTGGTCACAAGGCTACCGCAACAAACTCTAATATGTCTTGATCGTAGACACATCTTTGTTTAAGCTTATGCTACCATGGTAGCTAGCCTGCGTAGCGAGAAGATGAAAAAGGACTGATCTCAGGATGACACCGGAACTTATAGACGACGGGGGTCATCCGAGGTCACAGGTGACTTTGTTGATATAAATACTCGACCTGCGTATGTGCGAGACAGAAGATATCCAGTGTTAATCAAGTACACTGGTGTGCATATCAAGTGGGCATTTGGGAGGCAGAAAGTGTCTTAATTGAAGACGCTTTTTAAGTTGCATTATGGGTAAATGTAGGATGTTGGTGTTTCGGAGCTCGAGCCATACATTGAAAATAGTGATTTTCTTTGAAACTATAACCTATAACCTATAACAATCCTTGAAAAACTCTTTCTTCCAAGAAGGGTTCTTCCGATGAAACGGATTCTTGATGGAACATTTCATGGAACACCCTTGAAAAAACCTTGCTTAAAAACAGGTTTCTTCAGAACTTAACTGGGAGAAACATGAAGCGATCAGTAAGAGTCAAAAATACAAAATACAAAAATACTCCTGTACACTCACGGTTGTTGGTGAGTGGTTTTACAGAGCGATGCTTATTTTGTAGACTTACAGAATCCAGCTTGCAGAGTACACAACAACAGCCAAGTTTAAGTCATTTAGTTACTCACAGAATTACCATTAATTAGCAACAGTTGATATGTTGTTTGACGTTTCCTCCATAATCAAAGCCTTTTACACTGTGAATGAGCGTTTCCGTGTGTGTCTCTCCCGTCCTGTCTCAGCTGCAGAGATGGCTCGTTCGGGGAAGCAGGGTGAGATGACGGAGTACAAGAAGATGCTGATCAAACGGGACATGGAGATGGGCGTAGTCATGACGGTGTTCCGGCAGAAGGCGGAGCGGCTCACCGTGCAGGTCATCATGGAGACCCGGCAGGTGGCGTGGACACGCACCGCAGACAAAACTGATGGTGTCCGTGAGTATATTAACAATGAAAAATCATCATCATCATCTCCTTGGTTTATTGGAGCATTTTTCAAAACGCAGTAACAATATCTCTTCACCATTAAGGGAAGATACACATTTACATTTAAGTGTTTATTTTACTACTTTGTCGATTTGTGTCTGTAGATTTCTCCTAAATTCACCAATAGTTACCATTAGATAATACCTCGTTGGTATATTTGAACATAACATTTCAGATCCAGTTCCTGAAAATGTATGCAAATTAGTGCACATTTTAAGAAGATAATGCATCATTTGTATATCTTAACATACAATTTCAGAATACTTGTAATAATAAATAATAATTGTCTTAGTGTAAGTAATCACCTGGGGATGTTTCATGGATGATATCTATTAGGCCTGTACTTTCCACCCTATACACCTGGGTTGTCTCTCCTTAAAGCCATTGGGCTCTAAGTTTAGGTAAAAGCAGACTTTCATTTTTAAAATTTATTTACATTTAATATTCACTAACTCATTACAGGTACGCTGAATTAATCCTATCTACTGAAATTATAGTTTACATGCTATTACACAGTTCAACCTGTAGATGACGGCTTGGGGTCCGTCGTCGTGGTTTGGTTTAAGAGAGAGGAAGCTAGAACATTCTATGTGCTAATGTGTGTTACCCGTTGTCATTGTTGTCAGGTGGGTAAACTGTTAAAACTTGGGAAATAAATGTTATAAAATGCAAATGGTTTATTTGATGAACAACTTGAGTAAAACTGGTTTAATGAGAAATACAGTAAACGCTGTTATTTTTTATTCTAATTACCGACTCGTATTAGCATGCTAGTTTGTAGCCTAGCTTGCGGTGCTAGCAAATGTATTAGCCAGGTGGCTTTTTAGTTTAGACTTGTACTTGAGCTCTGATACCCTTTGTTGGTATTTTCTCTGTGTTAAGGGATAAGTGAATGTGAAGTGTCACGTTTTGAACTAAATTTTGAGTTAACTGAGAGTTTTCAGTACAATATAAAATCATTACAGAAATTGATATTACATTCATAAAAATATCAAGGTAATTTTGGTTACCATTACATATAAACCAGGTAACTTAGTTACGTGTTGAAGGATCTTTGTTGAATGAATCACATTTCTAATGCAGACTGTGAACCTGGGATAAGTTGCAGGAGTTGCGTTTTTGGTGCTCTCAGACTCTACAGGCTGTGACATTCGTCCCCAGCAGAGATGATGACTTACGCCAGAAATATGCGTGTGCTGTGTTTCAGTGGACCTGTTTGAGATCAGAGAGGTTCGTCCAGGGAGGAACTCCAAGGACTTTGAGCGCTTTAAAGATGGGAAGGACAAACACGATGAAAACACCTGCTTCACAATCTTCTACGGCTCACTGTTTGTTCTCAACACCCTCAGTCTGGGAGGTGAGATCTTTATTTATTTGTTCTAATTACTTTTGATCAGAAGTGGATTTCTGTAGTATTGTGTTGGACCGCTGTTTTTGTCCTGTGTCAAACCCAGTGGCCGGCCGTGTATTCTATACCTGGGCCTTCAGTGCTGTCCTACTACAGTTGAACCACCTCCTCATAACCTCATTATGACGCCAGCATGACGGACAATGCATATAGTCAAAATCAATGTAATTAACACAATGACATGAACAAACTCACAAGTGAACCACCACATTTAACAACACTGTTCCTGTAAAGCCGGGTAGGTCTTTATTCAGTGTTACAATCATTAAAATGCTAAAGCAGCATGTGTATGCATTAAGTATGCTTTCAGTAGCATAGACGTGCTAACGCTAGTTAATGAAGTGCAAACAAACTCTGCTAATGTTATCGCCCCAGGTCTTTACCATCCATCCATCCATTTTCCTCCGCTTATCCGGGGTCGGGTCGCGGTGGCAACAGGCCAAGTAGGCTGACCCAGACCTCCCTCTCACCGGCAACATGTTCCAGCTCATTCTGGGGGATCCCGAGGCATTCCCAGGCCAGCTGGGAGATGTAATCCCTCCAGCGTGTTCTGGGTCTTCCCCGGGGTCTCTTCCCAGTTGGACGTGCCTGGAAAACCTCCAGTGGGAGGCGTCCAGGAGGCATCCTAATTAGATGCCCGAACCACCTCAGCTGACTCCTTTCGACGCGAAGGAGTAGCGGCTCGACTCCAAGCTCCCTCCTGATGACCGAGCTCCTTACCCTATCTCTAAGGCTGAGCCCGGCCACCCTACGGAGGAAGCTCATTTCGGCCGCTTGTAGCCGCGACCTTGTCCTTTCGGTCACGACCCAGAGTTCGTGACCATAGGTGAGGGTAGGAACGTAGACCGAGTGGTAAATTGAGAGCTTTGCCTTCCGGCTCAGCTCCCTCTTCACCAAGACGGTCTGGTGCAGCGCCTGCTTTACTGCTGCAGCCACACTGATCCGTCTGTCGATCTCCCGCTCCATCTTACCCTCACTCGTGAACAAGACCCCGAGATACTTGAACTCCTTCGCTTGAGGTAGGCACTCCGTCCCCACCTGGAGGGAGCAATCCACCGGTTTCCGGCAGAGCACCATGGCCTCAGATTTGGAGGTGCTAACTCTCATCTCCGCCGCTTCACACTCGGCTGCAAACCGCCCCAGTGAATGCTGGAGGTCACGATCCGAGGAGGCTAACAGGACCACATCATCTGCAAACAGCAGAGAGGAGATCCCGAGACCCCCGAACCTGACGTTCTCCACCCCCAGGCTGCGCCTAGATATCCTGTCCATGAAAGTCAAGAACAGGACCGGAGACAAAGGGCAGCCTTGGCGGAGGCCAACACCCACCGGGAACGTGTCTGACTTCTCTTGCCGAGAATGCGGACACAGCTCCTACTGCAGTCGTACAGAGACCGGATCGCATTTACCATAGACTGTATATTAGAAGTGGACCTAGTCATCGTGACGTTACTCATTGGTTTGTGGACTGTCGTTATGAAGCCTCCAGTTCGGCGATTTTGCTGTCTCCATCTTGGATTACGGCCGTCGCCATGTTGTCTTTTTTAACTGATAAAACGGAAGTTACCATATCTGGAATGCGGAGGAGTGACAGAGAGACGCCGCATAGGCTCTGGTAGCGGCAGCGACCTGTCAATCACAGTAAGCCCGCCCTAAAGCATTCCCTGCTTTATGGCCTATTTGACTCTAAATGGACCATCATTTACTAAATGAACATTATGCTGTATTGAAGAAGACTTGAAACTAGAGATTGAGACCATAAACTCATGTTTACAATGTTTACTGAGGTAATAAATCAAGAGAGAAGTAGAGTCATTTTCTCATAGACTTCTATACAACCAGAGGAGTCGCCCCATTGGCTTCACTCGGCAGAACCAGAGTTTGCCATCTGGTTTTTACGTAGAAATGTAACATTTTAGAAATGTATATCTCCTTCCAACCTCTCTGGCCAACAAGTTCCACTATTACACAACGTTTAACCATGACAAGCTCCAAATCCACTAAACCGGCGAAAAGTATTTCCTAAACAGCGGAGCAGATACGTAGTATAGTAATACTTTCTGTTTTGCTCATTTTCCAGCTGATTCTGTTGAGGAAGCACAGAAATGGCTGATAGGACTAGAGTTGCTGAGGCAGGAGACACTGGAAGCTCCGACTCCGGTTCTTATCGAGAGGTAGACTAACACACACATTCACACAGCTACTAGTGATAAAGACACACCTCTTAATTCATCCGTTTGTGTTCCTTTTCTTCCAGTTGGCTGAGGAAGCAGATGTATTCTGTCAATCAGACCAAAACACACAGGTATGTATGATCTGGTTACTCATACATGACTAGCTCTGTACATGCATGCTAAAGATCAATATTGTGTCTTATGACTGGTATGATATGACAAAATTCTCAATGGTAAAAAGTGTGTTTTCTAAATTATTAGATTCCATAGGACCATGTTGCATTGCACGGCTGCTGATCACATTCTTTGTCTTAACTGCTGAAAACTTAAAAGTTTATTTTTTTGCTAAATATTTTACACACAATAACACATATTGAATGCATGTTTATGATCATGGGGCTCGATGCACACGTGATGCACATTTCATGTTTGTGTCCTGCCCAGCATCTCCATGAAGGAGCTGAAGGCTCTACTAGCTTCCATCAACTACAAGCCCCCCAGCTCTCGTTCCATCAAAGACAAATTCCTGGTACTCTTGTCTTCTTTCGTCAACCAGAGGACTATTAGTCTATTCTAGAATGCAAAATATTCCAACTATCTTTCTCAGTCAGGGCTTTGTTTTTTGTTCTGCTTTCACAGGAAGTAGGAGGAAAGAAAGACCGCCTGGACTTTGTGCAGTTTCATAAATTTTACAACCTTATAATGTTTGAACAGAATGAGGTGAGTCTGTATTGAATCACATTGGAGTAAATACATACTGTATATATTATTGCACATGAGTTATTCCAGCATTTTCATTCATATTATATTTTAAACTCAGATCCTGGATGAGTTCAAAAAGGAATCGTGTGCTTTTATTTTGGGGTGAGCTCCTTTTTTCCCCTCATCTTTGCTAACACTGATGTAAATGAAAAGCGTGTAAAGATAGTGTGTATTTTGTCAGCATGACTGTGTGTTTGCCCTTCTTCATTATACAGTAACACAGATAAACCAGATGCCTCAGCAGTTCTGCTCCTTGACTTCCAACGATTCCTCACCTACCAGCAAAAGGTAAAATAAGCTACAGTGAATGATTAGTACACCTGAAAAAAGAGATGGTGTTTTTTTTGTGTCTGCCAAGTGGAGAGAGAATAGTTGATTGATGGGCATATGCATGCACTTCATACAGTAACCTGTATGAGTACTAGTCATTCATTTCAAACATTGTGACTGTGCTCCTGATGCCATTATATAGCAGCAATTCTATAAGAATTACCGTCCTGTTTTCTTTGCAAACTTGTCGGCCTGTAAAACCCTTTGAGATGACACACAGTGATTTGAGGCTTTAGCGAGCTAAGATATCTGCCTCAGCAGCGGTGACCAGAAGGCTAAACTATTAGCAACATTTTCTCTCCATCCCTGAAACGCTGCACCAATATTGTCAGACTCTCTTTTTGATAAGCCCGTCATCCTTTTTGGGGTTGCTTTGCAGTGTTGGCAGCTGTTACCAATGGTGGAATAGCAACTTTTCTGACGTTTTTACGGGCATCTGCATTTGTAGAACAGCAAATAGGAACATCCTCCTTCTGAAATCACCTGTGATTGGCCAAAGTCGAGATTTTCTAAAGCCTGAAAACAGAGCCAAGAGGAATTCTAGATCAGTCTCAAACCACTTGAATAACAATATGCTAAAAGGTTATTACGGAAAAATATATCGCCTACCCCAGCTTCAACCTAAAAAATTAAAGAAATTAGCAAATTTCTGAAAACCCCAATTGAAACAGCTTTAAAACTAGGGTCAGAATATAAAGGCTAGATTTGGCATTCTTAAATATACTGCGACCAATAAGACAAACTTCTGTTTCATTAAAGAAAATTATTTGATGCTCAGTTTTTGACATTAACACAACAGTCTTTTAGGAATAGCATACCAAAGTCAATGGGATTTATAGGCAGCATAAAAAGGTAATGAGATGCCATGGTGGTAAATAATAGTCCCAAGTGAGAGCATACAGTGTATAGGAATAATAAATTACGACCCAGAATTGACCCCTGAGGTACTCCAAATAGATTTTTGTCCAATGACTAGATATGATTGAGAACCAGTTTCGGTTGATGCCAAAAATTCTGACCTCAAACGTCTGAGTCCCATACAAACAAGTTCAAATTGTCATTATCATTTGGCTAATGGTTTGATCGAATGGTACTTTTATCACTATTTAATTTTTTTTCAAGTTCAATTGTCCTTACATGGCCTATGTAATACATTTACCACTGTCATCACCTTTGGTGCCAAATTCTAAGTAAATCATCCACAAACTACATCCCACCTCAACTGTAATGCTTGGTTTTATTCATGACTAGTTATCATAGTAGAACCGGTTCCTGTCATCATTCACAGTGAAGGAAACTGACCTTTCATGCTTTCAAAGGACAGACATGATTTCATTTATGGCCTAAATTTATTTTTGCTGTCAGTTTGAATAAATCAGAGTCACCTTTATAAGCCAAGTATGTGTACACATACAAGGAATTTGACAAAGCTGGGCAAATAATGGGCAAGAATAGAACGGTCTACAATGTACACAAGTAGTGAAAAATTTGGTGTCTATAAATAAAAAGCACCAATGACCAATGAATGAATTAAACATTAATAAAATCTTTTCAAGGCCGATCTCAGACAATATATCTATCTCTTTTTTTCTGTCCCTTCATCCCTCAGGAATCCTGGGCCAGTGACCTGAACCAAGTCAGAGAGCTGATGACCACCTTCATCGATGACACCATGAGAAAAACCAATGATCCAGAGTTCACCGTCAGTGAGGTATTCTGCTTTGTGCCTGCAATTATTGTGTGTAACAGAGATGTATAACAGACTGTGATTAGGCCTGTCACGACTCACTTTATTGAGTCGACTTTATTCAGAATATTTAGACATTGGAATGTGAAACAAATATTAGAATAATCAGAATAATTTGAACTTAACTAAAATAAAACCACACAACCAAAACAATAACAAAATCAACTCTCTGTCTCTTTTAAAAAATAATTCTGCACAATGTTTTTTGGTGTGTGAAAACCCTTCTGTCTATTCTGGCATCACTTTGGCTCAGAGGATAGAGATGGTCACATGTCAAAGTGTCCTTGAACGAGACACTGAACCTGAAGTTGTTTTCTGGTTCACAGCTGCAGACTGTTCCTAAAATGCTGCTTAGGGATGGTTAAATGCAGGGATAAAATGTCACGTATGTACTTGTATGTATATGACGATTGCAATGAAGTTTACTTTTTATTTTAAAGTTTCGTTTTAGAATGTTGGTGATAATCTTGTGTAAACATGCATGTAAACATAACGGGCAATATGTCTATATATGATCCAGATCATATCCATATATCATACAATAAGTCAATTACAAATCAAAATGATCAAGGTCATGTTCATATATTATTTATATGTTCATTCTTACCACGGGCAGTTCAAAACCAGTGTCTCATATGTTCAGAGGCCGTGAGGATTATTAAAAGCAGCAATGTGAAGACGAAGCAGAAATCTTTTGAGCAAACGTACCCACTAATATCCGATAAATCGATAACGTAAAAATGATGGGGAAAATGCCATATATGGTATGATATGTTAATAATATAAAAATGATCGAGGTCATGTCCATATATGGTACAATAAGTTAACTTAAAACGATCACAGTCATGTCCATATATGGTACAATAAGTCGATAACTTAAAACGATCGAGGCCATGTCCATATATGGTACAATAAATGAATAACTTAAAATGATCGAGGTCATGTCCATATATGGTACAATAAGATGATAACGTAATTATCGTGGCAGGCCTAACTGTGATCAAGCAATTTGGCACCAAGTCAGTCATTTTTATCCTCTCCATGCATTTTATGTAACATTGAGCTGAATTTGGCAGGATATTGCAGGCTACATAGTTATTTGTAGGAATGCAGTTCACTGATCTATAGGCATATTATGTGAATTTTGTGTTAAAAGTAAGATAAGAAGTTGACTGTTTGGCCTAGAAAAATAATGCTGAAAACGTAATGAAGTTGCATCATTACTAAAATGAATCACACAAAATGAATCACACAAATAATGATTATCCTCTTAAGTCTGAAGCCTTTCTCCACCTCTAGTTCCTCAGTTTCCTCTTTTCCAAAGAGAACTCTGTGTGGGATGAGAAGTTCTCAGAGATCAGCAACCTGGACATGAACAACCCTCTGTCCCATTACTGGATCAGCTCCTCACACAACACGTCAGTATGACTCCACACACATGCACTACACAAGTCATAATGGAGTAAATCAAAGTGGTAGATGGACTTGCATTTGTATAGCGCCTTAATAGTCTTCTGACCACTCAAAGTGCTTCTGCTACATGCTAACATTTACCCATTCACACACAAATGCATACACTTGATGGCAGAGGCTGCTGGAGCAAGTTGGGGTTCACCTTCCTATCCAGCTTCCTACAATCATGAAAAATATCTTCCATTCACCACCGCATTGTTGGTGGATTATTGCACAGACATACATAAATTACCTATTAATCTCACAGATGATTTTCTAACTTTTGCCGATGGCTCATTAGAAAGTGAGACATGTCTATTGATTGACTGTGATTGTCTGGAGGAGCTTTGTCATGTCTGAGAAACAATTAAGTTAGTTTGCTGTGGGTTTGGAAACAAATTTATAACAAAAACTCTGCATTAAAAATATATGCAATTGAGTTTTAAAATGTGTCTTTTAACGAACCGTGAGGGTCTAATATAAATATAATATTAGTTTCATTATGGGAAATGCAGGGTTTAAGTTTCTGGGGCTTCACTCATTGATCCAGGAGTGGGGTTTTTTTCGTGATCTGGCAACCCAAACATTGTTCTCGTTAATGGTTTATAGCCGATCCATAAAGCGGTAGCCAATTGTTTATTAACATGAATAAGTTACACATTATAAACCTGTTTTTTTAGAGAGTGGTACCAGATACACTGCTCACCAAAACATTTCATAGCAGAGGTAACAATACATGACCTTTTCATTTTGTGAAAAATATGCACATATTATAGCACGTCTCCTGTGTCGTGTGTCCTTCAACAGCTACCTGACCGGTGACCAGCTTCGTAGTGAGTCGTCCACAGAAGCTTATGTGCGCTGTCTGCGTCTGGGATGCCGCTGTGTTGAATGTCAGTATAGTCCACCCCAAGATCATTAATGTATTTAATTCACATTTCGGAGTTTCATTTCCAGGAGTAGGGGTAAAATGATAATAACGAATGCTTTATTTTATATTATCAACACCTGTTTTGTGTGTGCTTTGTGTTGTACTGAATCTGTCCAGTGGACTGTTGGGAAGGGCCCGGGGAGCCAATCATCTACCACGGCTGGACCAGGACGACCAAGATCAAGTTTGAGGATGTGGTCAAAGCCATTAACGATCACGCTTTTGTCACATCAGAGTAAGAACCACAAAAAACACTGTCACTATACTGTATCTGTCACTTTATGACTCTTTCACACACACACACACACACACACACACAAATGGCAGCTTTCAGAGTTGACTTTCTAGCCGATATGAATCCATGTAAAACAACATTAGTTAATTTTAAATTGGGCAGGTGCCCTTGGGGCAATATATCTGGGGTGTGGTTGTGGTTGTACTGGGCTTGATAGATAAAGGTTTCATGATTTGAAAAAATATATATAGTCCATATAGTATCAAAAAACACAAATACAAAAATATCTATATTTTTTATTTTGATTGAATTCTTCTATTAACTTTTGTAATCCTCATTAAGCTCACTGCCATTCAACTTTATTTGGGGAATTTGCATACATTTTTTACCCACCTCACTGATTCTATTCTAAATTTGAATTGCAAAATGATTTTAATATTATTTGATGTCATTTAAACTCCATCAAGGTGTTGTTTTTTTATGTTTTTTCTAATGCACTGTGCAAGGAATTGTGGTTTTAACATTTAGTTTTTGACCCAACAAAAGGTGATTAAGCCACTTTAAGACCATTGGTTGAGTACATTTTTGTTTTATTTATTTTTTTAACTAAATAATGTCAAAGTCAAATTACTTTGAACAATTGCATCAAGTCCCATTCCCGTCATGCATCAATATATTCAACCTTTTTTTGCTGATTTTGACATAGAGAAAAAAAACTAAAGGTTCTAACAGTGCAAACAATGGCAACAGTGCTGACAGAGCAAACAGTGTTTACCTGAGGGGGGAAACGGAGGGCGGGCGTTGTTGTGGGTTGGTCAGCTGTAACCGCAGTATGAGAGCGAGTCAGCTAGCCATTCAGAGCGAGTGGCTAGCCAGTCAGAGCGAGTCAGCTAGCCAGTCAGAGCGAGTGGCTAGCCATTCAGAGCGAGTGGCTAGCCATTCAGAACGAGTGGCTAGCCATTCAGAGCGAGTGGCTAGCCAGTCAGAGCGAGTCAGCTAGCCAGTCAGAGCGAGTCATCTAGCCATTCAGAGCGAGTGGCTAGCCATTCAGAACGAGTGGCTAGCCAGTCAGAGCGAGTCAGCTAGCCAGGGAGTCACATGCAATAAATGGCAGGCGGGGCCGGACCGGCTATGTAAACAAAACCAAAGAGAAGCTCTGACTACAACACACACAGAGGGTGAGTGACTTCATTATCTGCTCAAGACGCCATCACTCCATTATATCTTTACATAGCTAATAGTTGTTTGCTGATATATTAATGGTCTGGATTTTGAATTTCGTGTTCCAAATCTTCCTATTAACATTGTCATCTTACAGCCAACCCATTTTCTCAACCATGTCGTCTCTCTATTAGGTTCCCACTGATCCTGTCCATAGAGGAGCATTGCTCTGTGGAGCAGCAGCGTCAGATGGCTCGCATCTTCAGAGACGTGTTTGGAGACAAACTGCTGACTGAACCTGTGGAGCAGATGGCTGAGCAGCTACCGTCACCCACGCAGCTGAAGGGCAAAATCATACTCAAGGTACTGTCTAAACACACCGATGTGTCAGTGGAATTTGTGTTTCGATGGCGAGAAGGTTTTGTTATCATTCCTAATGACTGCGCTCTTCTTGTTTCTTCCTTGTGCAGCACAAGAAGCTGAGTGTGGAGGGAGGAGGAACCACCAGAGACTTCAGGAAGGGGCAGAAACAAGGAGATCTGGAGATCTGGGACCCTGTGGATCAGGTACTGTCAGAGGGGTCAAATGGGCTCGGCGAGGTAGCTGAGACTCCCTTTCGTGTTAACATGCATTTCCTAACATAAGGATGATCGGTGTTGACCTGTTTTACATCACACATGAGGCCTGTTTTGCCAAACCTTTATAATAAATTAAGGAACACACATTTTATGTTTGGTCTCACTAAAATCCCCTAGTTAATTCTCTCTGATGTTATATTTTAGTGCTACAAAGACACGTGTAAATGAGATATTGCAGCTGTTGTAGCAGAAGTAGTTCCGGTCTCATAGATTATCCTACAGACAGAAATAATCACTGAAACAACCTCATTATTAATGTGAAATTATGAGCGTATACTTTCAACGATGTGTATCATTGTTGGGATTTCCTTGTTGATGTGAAGAAACAATTTGTATTTCAGCTTCAGTGAGTCATTTCTGATTTGAAATTACTGCATGTTGCGCTTGAAAAGTTCCCTGTATTAGCAGCTTGTTTGCATGTGGAGTTTAAAATGTCAATTTCCATTTGTCTTTCTCAGCGGTGGAACAAGCACTACTGTGTGATCTCTGATGACAAGCTGTATTATGCAGAGGAGTATGAGGAGGAGGAAGAAGATCCCAGGAAGGTAAAAAAAAGACAAGAGTTTACCTGTAACTTTTTTAGGCATTGTTTTTTCTGCTTTAACTTATCATTATGAAGTAAATGTTGATTGCACAATGTAATGTCTGTAGAATATTGACACCGTCTGCGTTTAGATTGCTTCCATAAGCCTCGCTTTCACTATACTATTATGTCTGCCAGCGGGTACGATCTCCCGGGAAAATGAAGGCCCACTTTACGGCACAAAAGTCCAGTGGTGGCTGCTGACTTAAAAGATTGTGGATCACAGGAGGAAAACCAACCCACAGCGTCATGTTATTTTACACTAGTTGGTAACTTATCTATGCTTTCTTACTATGTTCAATGAAAAAAAATCAGTAAAACAATGGCTTACAAGACTTTTTAAAAACAATCAAAGCGGAGCTCTGCTGCTGCTGCGCCCCCCCTAGAAGGATTCAAGGAACATTTATTGTCGTTATGCAACACAGGGATCCACAACGAAATGCAGTTGTAATCTATTTACTTCATAAGAAAAACATGACCAACAAAAACAGTAGTAGTAGTGCATTTTTTAAAATTTGCATCAGGAGGAATGTAAACAGCAGCACCAACAACAATTCTCTGGGCAATATGGCCGACATCTCCACATTAGAAATTCGACATCATGGAAACATTCATGAAGCTTTCATTCATCTTATTTTTCTGCAACAGAACATCAGACAGCCAGCAGCATGCTGGGTAGTGGAGTAGCCTCATGTCCTAGCTGGGTTAGCTTAGCTTCTATCTTGGCTCTCCTCCCTGGGGAAGTTCGGTATTGTTTGGACCAGCAGGTCTGGCTGGTTGGTCGGCCGTGGAGCGGTGATCGTTTCAAGTACAGCTGCACTTAATGTGTGAGACAGTTCCTTCATACTGTGTGGGTAGGGTAGAGGAGAGAGGTCAGCCTGCTGGATTACCTCCCGTCTGATGCATCTCCTCTCAAGTGGTTCAGGACATCCTCCTTATCTTCTTCCCAGTCTGTCTGCCGCTGCTGCTTCCCAGCTCTGTGAACATATGCTCACTCTAATCACCTGGTGGGCTGCAGGTGTGACCAATGCCACGTGCTTAGTGGCTGCAGTACCTGAACTGGATAGTAGACTCCCTCTATATTACCTCCCCCAACCTGAGCTTGGGGATCCACCCCCTGTGCTGGGTCTGCTTGGCTTTTCCCCCTGGTTTTCCACATAATGGAACAAATATTTTATAAATTATTCTGAGATTTGGTAAAGGTTTATTTCAACCAATTACTCTAAAAAAATAGAGGAGGAGCAGCCTCTATGGACCAGCCTCCTCTGGCGTCAACCATTGCGCCACCAAAACAGAAAGAGGATAGTGCTTATGTTTTCCCTGGTAGCTATCGGTAGCTATCCCCAGTTAGAAGAGTCTCAATACAAGTTCTTTGCCGTTATTGCCCCCAGTAGAAGAAAGACGGACAACCAAAGTAACTGTGGGAAACAAGATGCAGGGAGTCCTGTGTCGTTGGTAGTTGCTAGGCTCTGAGGAAATCGGAGAGCGATGCTGTTGCCTTTGCGACAGCCAACAATAATACCACTCGGAAACGCTTTCCTCTGCCCACAGTACAGAGGTTATGATTAATTATAAGACCAGGTGAAAGGCACCCTGTCTAATTACTTGACCACTGGTAGCACTATGGAGTAGTGTGTTCCCATATTGTTTGTGTGGTGCTGGTAATGCATCAAGAAACGCAGCATTTGCTGATTAAACCATGCAAAATATTCATAAAACCAGCTTTTTTTGTTTTATGCAATGAATGGAAACCCACAATGCATTTTGGGAAGAAAACACTAAATGTAAACATAACTTCAAGGTGACTTTGAGGTAGTTTAACTGAAGTCCTTTTTCTGATGTGATTATTATTGTCAAAGACAAATGTTGCTGACAAGGAAATATATGGGAGAAAGAATTATTAGCATTATATATTGGTCAGTGATGATTTTCTTACAAGAAACAATAAGAACATGTCAAACCAGTGTTGTTGTCATCTTTCTCAGTACCAGGACATGCACTGTTCAGAGCCATGGTTTCACGGTCGTCTGAAGGAAGGCAGGCTGATGGCCGAGCGACTGATTCACGATTACTGTGTAGAGACCAGGGGAAGAGATGGTACCTTCCTGGTCCGACCGAGTGATACCCATCACACAGACCTCACCCTCTCCTTCTGGTACAACATCCAGTCTTTTGATCTCATGGCCAACCGAAAACTTAAGGACTGTGTTTTTTTTTGTAATTGTGTAATATATTTAAATTTATTGTGTGTTTCTCTAACGCACTCGTCCTCTGCGTGTATTTCAGGCGCAGCGGGAAGGTCCAGCACTGTCGCATTCGCTCGGGTTCAGAGGGGGGACACACGTACTTCTACCTGACGCCAAACTTGCACTTTCCCAGCGTGTACTCTGTGATCCAGCACTACAGAGCAAACCCGCTGCGCTGCCAAGACTTTGAACTGCGCGTCACCGACGCTGTACCGCAGCCCAACCCACACCTACAAAAAGGGTTTGTCATACATGAACAAACATCAGTCTGATACATCACAGGGGACTGGCTAAAAATCTATATACAATGTAAGCTAGCAACTAATTATCATACCGTAGTATAATTTTTGTGTGTGTGTATA